TTACAGGTCACAAATATACATTATCCACACCTGAGAGAGCAGTTTTGCCTTTTTTGGGGGGGGGGGGGGCTTCAAGTTAGTCTTGACTCCTGGGACTACCTGGACTAGTCCCTGCAGTTTCGTTGGTAAGGTTTTTCACAACTGGTGTGCCCTTGCCTCCTTCCTAGGGCTGAGAGAGAAGGACTGGCCCAAGGTCACCCAGCTGGCTTTGTGCCTAAGGCAAGACTACAACTCATGCTGTCCTGGTTTCTAGCCTGGTGCCTTAACCACTACACCAAACTGCCTCTCAGTAAGTCTTCTTGACACCAGAAAAACGTTTGGTTGATTTTTACCACAGGAGACTGATATGCTCACCCTTCAGGAGAGCTAAAAAAAAAAAAGTCCCTCATATTTTTTAATAAGGGAGATCTGGATTGTTCCATAATTACCTAACGAAGCTACTCTACCATGTTGAGGAAACTATTTTCCATCATTTTAGAATGCATAAAAAGCAGACAAGGGAAGTGTCAGTCCAATTTCCAGTTTTCCTGGAAAAAGGGTCAGGGGTCTGGCTCAGCTGTTTACTCCTACATAAAATCTGCAGACTAAGTTTTGCAGCAAAGGCCAGATTTGCTCCATCTGCTTATCCTGTACTGAACAAAGGGTTCTGCTTTTCTTAATGCACAGTTGGGTTCACAATTTATTAAGAGGTACATTTGATTATTATCTAAACTGCAATGATTCATCCACTACAGGTGGTGAAAGAGCAGGTGCTCTTTTCCAGCCCTTTTGAACAGTAATTAGTTTAAACACTTGGCAGGTTATTTCGTGGTTCCCTAGAGTTTGACTTTGTTCAGCATTACATAACTGCTAGAAGACTGGACCTATTAGGTCTGAGTGAAACTATGAATGCCTTGCACAAACCCCGCTGTGTCACTTGTGTTCTACAGTTGACCAATTCTAAGTCAAGCCTTCTCCCCTGAGCGGCTCACCTTAGACCTGAGGTAGGCTGAACCCCGCTCGCAGCGGATCCCTCCTGTGCAGTACATCAGGACTCGCTTGCTCCTGAAAAGGTCCAAATTCTCATCTATGTAGATGGGGAAGTAGCTGAACTTCCTAATGTTGGGAGCCAGACAGCCTTGGAAATGCCCCTGGAATTAAAAGAAAAAAAAGCACTACTTAACCTGTGATTTTAAAAGATAAAACCAGGAACAACTGCAGCTGCTATGCTACCATGTTGTCTCACTGCTTAATTTCTTTAGAACCACAGAACATATGAGTTGGAAAGGATCCTTTGGCCATCTGGTCCACCCTCCTACTCTGTACTCAGGGCATCCCTGACAGGCAGCGGTCCGGGTCTTGGTTCAACAGCTCCACTTAGGAGAAAGCCATCATTGTCCTAGGCAGGTGGTTCCACTGTTTAACAGCAAATTCCCATAAAAAAACACATCCTAATATTCAGCAAGAACATTTTTTTCACTTTAACTTGTTGGGCCTCGTCCTGTCCTTAGTTCCAACCCAGGTCCACTCCCTCTTCCTTTTAAACATTTGTAGACCACAAGCACAATGTTTTATTTAGAACATGTATATAGCCACCCATCTTAAGTACATAACTCTGAGTGTTACAATACAGTACAATACAATTAGTTTTGGCAGGCCAGACATGTTCCTGCTCCTTTAACTTCTCCTCATAAGGCTTGGTTTCCTTCAATCTTTAAAAAAAAACAAAAAACATTTCCAATAGGAGCCGTAACGGAGGAGGGGTGCAGAGGGGGGAAGAAGTCTCACTGCAGCTTCTGAGCCTGCTGCAGCCTCAGCAGAAGCATCACCAGCACTGCCAGCGTCCTCCTCCAGTCAGATCATCTACAAGTGGGGTAAGGACAGGCTGCACTAAGTAATGGAAGGAGAGCTCTTGGTGGCCCAGTAGGAGCGTTTGTTCGCACACAATAAGAAAAATACAATGTGATAGCAAAACAAGGGACAGATAAATGTAGGCAACAAGGAATAAAAGTGGAAGCCAAGAAGTCTGCTCAGTAAGATGGGAAGGGAAAAGAAGCACAAGAGAATTTCAAAATTACTTGGGGTTGGTTTTGATTCATAGAGGCCACTGGATGTCTTGTGACCTTGACTGAATGGTTCCAGCCCCTGCCAGTAGGTGAAGCCTGATACACTGACAGCCCCTCCCCTCCAGTGCTAGTTGCGAACCATATGCTTCTCCTTACCCCGTCATGCAGCTCAGGTCCACTTCTGCAGTGTTCATGACTGTGACTGTGCAGTATCTTTTACCATCCTGGTAGCCCTCATCCAAGCCTAGAACAACTCCCTCGAGTCTCTTTCAAAGCATAATCCCCAGAACTGGGCACAGTTGGTAGTGACACATAGGCAGACCTTCTCCAGGATGATCTCCCCAGTCTGGTCTTCGGGTCTTCCAACAGTGCACCTATTGCTGCTGTAACCAAGTCTATCCTCCTTGCTGCTGCTCATCCTCTTTCCTTCCACCTTTCCCAGCATTACAGACTTATCAAAGAGAATAGTAATAGTACTGGTTAAGCCACATTCTCTGTGGCTTAACCAGTGCAGAGTTCAGTAGACCACTTGCCTATCATGATCTGCACATAAAGCTACTATTATTAATGCAGTTCAAGATTACACTGGTCTTTTTAGTTGCTACATCACACTGAGGGTCTATGTCAGGTTCAGCCTAAGGAACTCCACGAGACAGTACAGATTTAGTTCTATAGCCTTTATTAGCTTTCCCCTTCAAGACAGAATCTTGCCAGACTGAATCCAAAATTCCCAAGCCAGCAAGCAAACACTG